TCGAGATTGTCACCCTCGTACATACAACCCTGATAATGAACAAACAACTTTGGGAAGAGAACATAAAACTATAACTTACCTGCAGTAAAAGTGAGCCGTCTTGGATGGTGATGCGTATACAGAATTTTTGGCCTGCGTCCCACCGCGAGATAATGTGTACATCTTCAATACTGGAATATGGGATACCGGTCTCCATCATACCCACCGGCTGCACAAACAAACAACAACAACGCATTAAAACAACAACAAACAATTCTTTATCACATTAACTATCAATCTTTAAAAGTGTGGCAGGGTGATGGTTGAACTGTGCAGTCAGCAAATGTGAATTGTATCTACTGTTCAGATTGTACCTACCCCTCTTCTACGACTAAAACAGCTCACTAGTGACTTACTGGTCAGGTCATTTTACAGGCTAAAAGTACTTTGTTATTTTTAATGAGAAATAGAGTTTTAATAAATAGATTAATAAAAAGACTTCAAGCATCACATCTGGGGCTTCATCTAAATATGGCCTCTTCACTACTAAAGCTACATTTGAATGCTTCGGTGTAAACATTTAGTCCGTCTTTATAAATAAGATAAAAACCTATTTTACTGTATAGACTATATTTCATCTACAACATCAGACATTTAACAAGGTTCAATATTTATATCATACAATACATATAACGACAAAACATTATATGTATAATGCAGATTGTCAATTTCGAGCCGTTTGAGCTCGGATGATTATATACACTTACTTCAGTGTATTCATCCATGCAGGCCTGTTACTTTGCATGTTGTTTTTGTTTGTTTTAAGTTATACCTATGTTTGTCGCAGAAATAGCTCTACTGAGCTAACGTTTGTATGTTTATGGAATGGGGCGTTATACAAATATTCTTGTATATTGTACATTGCTGTGTAAAAATTCCACGAAATGTCACGTAAAGGTACCAGACAGATCGGATGAGAAAGAAAAATCTAGCATGGGGTATATGACATGGAATATCTCTGTCTGAGGTGTGAGAAAATCAGGATCAGTCAGGAGCCAACATGCTAGATTTTAT